TTTGTGTTGGCATAATAGTCCTGTAGAACCATTTCTTTATGTTGGTATTAATATCCCACCGAACCCATTCCGCGCAAAGTTTTTTCCATTTCTTGTATTATTTCTGATACAACAGGAGAAATGGTGCTTTGTGCAACGCGTAATTAAAATCGCTAGCCGCCAATCATAGATAACCTCCAGACCCCAACAACTCTAAAGTAAGGGCTTAATGGATCACTGGAGGCATGTAGGTTTTTTTTTGTGTACTTATATTTTAATATATGTTATTGACATATGCGTAATACCTTCCTCTTACACATTTTCGGACAACCTAAGAGGATTTGAAGCGTCCCGATGATCCTTTCTACAATTTTACAAGATTTCTTTTCGGCCAGTCTTGATATTTATCTACTAACAAATGACAAGGAAAGGAACAATTCCGTCTGATGTGTACATATTTCTCAACATTACTTGCTCATTTAATAACAACATTTTTCTTACCTTTTTTTTAATTTTGTTTGGCACTTCATGTTCATTAAGCTGAGTCAATCTAAATATGATTATAAGCTACTTAACTCTTTTAGAATTATTTGCAGAAACCTACATGACGTCTACCACTTAAGGTCAATATAAGATTTCATAAAGTCTATCAAAACAAATTTGCTTAATACGCGCGGATTGCTTATATCATATTTAAACTAACTTTTAACCTTAATATCTCATTATAATTCGAAAACTATTCGTATTGTTTACTGTATCGGCTGCAAACTTATGCATGTTTCGCAAGTTCACTTGGAATCTGGTTCCGGAATGGTTGTGGATGTGCCTCTGTGCTAGTTGTGTACATACTCTTTTTTTTCTCTCTTATGCAATTATACATGAATTATTATTTATTAATTATTATTATTTTTTTTCTTTTTTTCTTATATCTCCTTATTTTAAGAGTCAGTCCAATTCATGTGTAAGTAAGGAAAATAGAATAAACAAATAAATCAATAAAGAAATGTATTAGACCAGTTGGCGATAAGACCAGTATAATCCAGTAGCGTGTTGAGGTTTTATTATTTGTTGGTGCTCTGCGCTTTATCAATGATAGCAACGGTATATGGTGATAAAAGATTGATGATACAAAGTTGATTACCACCTTTGGCGAATTAAGAATATTAATGAGACAACTGATGTAAAAAAAAAATAATTAATTTACTTACTTTTCTCAAATTTAAGATTTAATAATTAATTAACGATTCACGTGCCCACCATAGCAGAACCAATTGTTACCAATAACATAGAATGTATTGGTTTTTTTATGTACACACACAAACCGTTGCTCATTGAAAAAAGTTTTTTTCTTTTGTTTATGTATTGTATTGGTTCTTTCGAATACACAGAGATGTCTCTCTTGAAAATTTTCAAATTGTCGCTCTCTCCCATTGAGATAAGTTGAATCAGAACGAATTGTATAAATTTAAGAAATTTGGATAGACTGTACGGAAGCCTAACCACTATCCATAGGGACGAAAAAAAAGAAATCGTGTACATCAAATATCGAAGAGCGTGCAGTCCGTTCAGCAAATCTCTCGACAAGAAAAGAAATCTCCTCAGAAAAGAAATCTATATCACTAGAGGACTAAGGGTCAAGTTAATTTACTAAACGAATCGCTCTGCTAATGATCATAAATCGGACTGTAGCAGGGAAAAATATTACTACACTAAACCATTTTGCAAATTAAGGGGAATAAAGGCTGTGAACACACCTTTAATGGTCAGGGTAAAGTAGGGAATTAATGCTTAACAAGTTTGTTTCAGGATAACACGTTTTTGATATTAGAATCTTTAAGTGATTTCGGCGGAATAATCAGTTTCGATTGGTCCAACCGAGTAAATGCAAGGCCTAATTTGAAAATAAGGAAATTACTTCATGACTTTGATATGAAGCAAAGGTTTTTTTTTTTGAAAAAAAGTTTTTGGAACTTAGTGAAAAGTAGATTAAAGCCATTTGCTGATGCTGAAGATGCTCTGCCCTACAATCTTTTCAAACTGTGCCCACATCAGATGGTGTAGCGGTGTTTTTTAATTCTGAAATATTATATGTAACGGATACCGTCTATATCCTTTCTATCTGTCTATAAAAAACCATTACATTACGAAACTAGCACTTTAGGAGGATTGGCGGCGAATGATATAGATGTACGTGCTTTATCTAGTTAGCTCGAGAGATGAGGGAGGGGTTCTATTTTTTTAAAAGAACAGCACGTATTTACTCTTTAGCAGATACACAGGCGGACGTAACCTAACCTATCGAACTGGCATCTCTTATTCCTCTGTGCCTTTCTATACCCGCCCTGCTTGTGACCTCCTTTGGTCCATGACGTTTACGGGAGGAAATTAATTTCCTCATCTTTTACTTCATTTTAACCATTTTAATCCTTCTCCCCTTTCTTATTTTACAATCTTAATTTTTTTTTCACGATTCCGACATTAGTTATATTAGCTATTCTTGATTCCCTTTTTTCCCACCATCTTTTTACCTACTCTACCGAAAAACGCATGAAGTCAAAACTCAAAGAAAATTACATCCAAACACTATCTTTTGCTGTCAATTCTCTTCGTGCATGAACTTAACAAACTCTCTAATGCCGGGTTGCATTCTTAGCAAACATAAAAAGTCAGTCCAAACCACACATAAAAAACAACTATTAACACAAAGTTATTCTACCACTAAAGAGTGGTAGCCAAAGGGCTACCTTATAATAATCTCATCTGGGTTGTCATCAAGAATGGTGTCGATGAATAGGGCATTAAGAAGAAACGCCTACCAATAGATATTTGGAAGATTAATGAAAACATAATTGACGCACCGAATATTATGTTGATGCTAGCAAATTTGGGAAAGGAACACTATTTTATAACCCCGATTTTAAAATCTGGGTATCATCAAATTAACTTGCTGAACGAGATAAAAGGCATTTTCCGTAAGTAACCGAAAATATGAATTTTGTCGACTACTGTTTGGGCGCAGACATGACGTTCCAGTGCATGTTCCAAAGAGCAGTAGATGACTTTCCCTGGAAGCAAACTGGTAAATTTCCCTAATGTTTATTTCGATGATGTTATAATATTTTCCGAAACGGAAGAAGAATATGTCACACACATTAACTGGGTTCTTAAAAAATTATGTAAGGCAAACATGGGAGTCTTCACCGGGATATCTAAATTCTGTAAAACTGGAAGCAAATACTTGGAATTCTCTGTATCATGTGAAGATATTAAAGCCTTTTCACCCAAAGTTGATACAATTAAAAATTACCCTTTGGTCACTACATTGTTTGGAATTAAATTATTTCCAGGTTTGCTCAACTACTATCGAGGTTTTATTTGAAACTATGCCAGTATGGTAAGTCCTTTAATCGATATACTCAAAAGGTAAAGTGGTAAACTACATCCCATCCAGACTCAGCAAATTAAATTAAAATGCTTAAAGTCTTTGAAAAATTAAAACAGATTCTAACGTCGGGGGATATTATGCTAATGATATCAGGAAAACTTAAGACTGATGCTCCATTCCATGCTAAGGATTCCGTTGTGCAGTTTTTTCTGCTCGCGCTTTACTTATGGGTTCAATCTCGACATTTCCTGGTCAGACATTGGTACCATTTGGCCTATGTGATTGTCAGCTACTTGATATAGATTGTAGTGTGATCGCATACCATCGTATGCATCTACTTTGAAGTGTGACAGAATTATGCAACTTCAGCATAATTCTTTTGGTAAAATAAAAATAAAATTTATGTCACACTTCACCAGTGTGAGTATTGCATTACGAAATGCAACACGATGCCACAAGTAAACAATTATAAATTTTGTTTAGATAAGCATAATTTAGTGTAGAAATTAAGTATAAATAGTGCCAAAGAAAATAAAGAAATTCAGTTGTTATCAAACAATTCAACTTAGCGTTTAACTCGCTGAAAATACAAGGCGTTCAATCCGCCTGAAGCATAAAGATTGTGGACAGTCTTATACCGAAACTTATTGGCATTATAAGAGACGAAAACACTTGGCGCACTGAAGCCGAGCAGCTTAGGGGTAAACTGCGCTTCCATCATTAAACATTATTACATTCAACACAAGACATTGCAGCAATTCATAAAAACGAAACCATTTTGGTTTCAATAACTTCATCCTTTTTCAACTTCAAAACAATTGATAAATTTACAGGATCAAAACCGTCATGACATAAGGTAACGTCTTCAGCTTGTATGTGGTCATAATATTTTGATAGGCTACATTTGCCCTTAACGCACAGTCCTTACCCGTGGTTCAATTTATTGCCCGTTTCAAAAGTCGTGATACCGTAATGGACTTATGCAATTGCGCTGTGAACTGTCAGTTGGTGAACTGGAATTTGATATGATCATATTTTTGTCAGAAAGGAAATCATCCTTTCGTGAGCTTATATCCAATTGATAACTCTGTCTAATCTTTTGTAAATGCGTTGATATTAAATGAGAGGAAGGTGGTGGCGGTAAACTACTATTAATTTTACAACTTAGTCGACTGTTCTCGGAAAAAGTGAAGGTCGCATTTATTGATGTGTGTACTGCTATCGTTATTAAGATTGTTAAAAGTAACCATAGTGTTGGGAGTTACCGCCATTGATTAAATTCCTACGCCGCCACTGGTGGTTGTTGTAGGCATTTGGCTTAAGCGCTGTGAACAACCCAGCGATATAGGATCATATAATGAATCAGTCTTGTAACAGGGATGCATTGTAGATATTAAGGATGGCTACTACGGTGACTTTGCATACTGAAATAGTATGTACTCGAATTGGAAGTTTGACTTTCACGTCTAAAATTCGATGAGATACCTGAATAATGGTTACTTGTACTGATATGGTTGCTCCTATTTCCACAACATACACTATTCGGGTAGAATACACAAGTATGTTATTCTGTCATATTTGACTCGTTGCATATATTTGAAGGCACATTGTGTTCTTTTTTTTTTGGAGAAGTTCCACACTACATTTTTAATTCGTTTATACGTTCATTGAGTTCTCCAATGCCGATACCCAAGCTAGAATTCGTTTCCGGTATATTTGAAAGGGTGGACGCACTTAAATTGACTGCTTTAGCTTGCAGACGTGAACGGAACCGTTGTTGCATTGATGATAAGCCGCTAGCGCTCGTATTTCCCGCGACAGTTGCATTTCCATATGCTGAATTCCCGTTTGAATTGGTGCTAATACTAACCATAGCTCTCAAGACAATTGGCAATTCGGCAGCGTCTAAATCATCATCAAATGACCAAACATCGTCAGCTTGTCCGGGATTATAGTCTTCTGATATGCTATACCTGCCCTTAACGCACATTCCTTGTCTGTGGTTTCCGCTATTGCTTGCTTTAAAAGTCTTGAGATGCTGATGAGCTTGTTGACCAGCCACAGGAATTGGGCTATGAATTGACAGTTGAGATGGTGAATTTGGATCTGATTCAGATTTAATACTGGGGCTTGACATGCTAGTATTTTTGGCAGAAAGGAACTCATCGCTTCGTGGACTTATATCCAATTGATGATGGCGTTGTCTTGCACCGTGACTTTTCACACCACTAGTACCATTGCTTCCATTAGTATTGTCCGTATCATGCATTGAACCTTTATGCTTCTTATTCGCATAAAATTCAGCTCCATGCACAGTTTTAACATGTTTACGTAGTGAGCTAGGGTCGGTGTACCGTTTTGTACAGCCGGGAGCTTTGCAAATGTATGGCTTCTGAAATAATTTAAAGATTTTAATCAATGGAAAGATTACTTGACGTCTTTGAAAGTATTGACTACTTAATTTGATTTAACACCAACGTACCTCATTGCTGTGGGTGCGATTTTGATGTTTGGCCCTGTCACTGGCATTGCTAAACGCTTTGCTACACCCCGGATATTCACATGTATACGGCTTTTCACCTGTATGTGATCGCAAATGGGTTTTCAGATTCTCCAAACGTGAATACGCTTTACAGCAACCTTCAAACTATAATGCCCCGATGGAAAAAAAGAAAGAAAACAGTGGGAAAAATTTATTCATTTACGTAAAGTATCACGATGTCAAGGCAAACATGCAAAACACAGAAAACAAATTCATTTTCTGATAGTGCACAATAATGTAAGCAGCAATAATTGTCTTCAAACATTGGCTGCGATAGATTTTTTAGATGAAGAAAATGTCCACCCTGCACAATTTCTGTCTCAATTTTTAATATAACAATTGTCATCAATAGACATTAAGCGAACAAGTTGTTGGACATATCTAAAGCAACCATCAAGAATATATTTAAATTAACAAATAAAATGCAAATTTTGCATTTCTCAGTGGCTTGCTGGTGTGTACAAACGGCTAGAAATATAAAATTGCCAAGGAACAATGTTCAAAATTGTGCATATGTGCGAAACCGCGAACCAATGAA